CACACACACACACACACACACACACACACACACAGATTTCTTTCCCCCAATAAATATATTCAGCTCTTAACCTCCATTTATTCCTAAAATTCATTCTTCAGTTTTAGAGAACACAAACTCATCCCAGGTACTTTTCAGGTTGGGAGTTTCATTTCCCTTATATCATAACTACTTTGGTGAACACAAACTATTCTCTCTGTTGACTTCAGGCATTTACCTAACTCTTAAGTTTACACGGTGCTAGCCATTAACATCCCAAGCAAGAGAAGCTGCTATCTGTAGCCTTGAATCCCAGCTTACCAGAATTTACAAGAGAGCCAACAGTTCTCCTTGGGCTCTGTTTACTGCTGTTTGCTCCCTCAGAACAAATAAGCTTTTGTCTCATATTTCTATGCTGCTTACTCTGCCATAGAGTGCTACTTCTTTGCCATATCCCACTATCATGTTTCCTTGCCTAGGAGCCAAATGACTATGGGATGAAAATTTCTACAAACTGTGAGCTAATATAAACCTTTCTTGCTTTAACTTGCAGGTGTCAAGTATTTTGTCCCAGCAACAAAAGTAACTAAAATACCTCCCTATTGACTCTGTCCTTATTCCCTTTAGACTATACAGGGGAGCAGTGGTTATACAATTGTTTCTTCATTTGTTTGAGCACCTAGCTGGGAAGAGAGCTGTTTTGGGACATCTGCCAAGAATGGGATTTCTCAACCTTGATATGATTGACATTTTAGACAGTAACCTTTTTAGTGGAAGGGCCACTCTGTACATTCAGGAATGTATAGGTCTGTCTTTATCCACTAAATGTCAGTAGCACCCTCCCTAGTTGGGACAATTATAAATGTCTACAGATATTGGCAACTCTCCTTTTTTTTGCATTTTTTGTGATTTTACTGAAGCACAAATAAACACGCACACAGGCTGTCTACTCATTTTCTTCACTGCGCAGCCTGGCATTGGGATTGGTGACTCGGATGGCTAGCTGGGCTGCTCTTTCCACGATGGCCTTGTGGTTCTTAGAGGAGACGTTATGAGCAATCTCTGCACAGTAAGACTTGTTGCACATCAGCAGCACCTCCAGCTCCTTAACATTGTGCACCAGGAACTTCCGGAAGGCACTGGGCAGCATGTGCTTTGTCTTTTTGTTACTTCCATAACCTATGTTGGGCATCAAGATCTGGCCCTTGAACCTCCTCTGCACCCTGTTGTCGGTGCCTCTGGGTTTCCGCCAGTTGCGCTTAATTTTGACATATCGGTCTGACTGGTGCTGGATGAACTTCTTGGTCCTCTTTTTGACGATCTTGGGCTTCACAAGGGGTCTGAGGGCCGCCATGGTGCCAAGAGGGAGATGGCTGCCACCTCCGTAGGCAGCGCGGAGGAAGAGAGGGGATGGGGGTGCGCCGGCAGCTCTCCTTTATAAGGACAAAATTATCCTTGCGTAAGAATCACTGACCTTGAAGAAAGAACATATTTTCTAGTTCTCATAAAAGTATTACATAGGAGTTGAGGGGATAATCAGTGATAGTGACATAGGGGAATGAAACTCCTGACTTGAAAGGTACCTGGGATGAGTTTGTGTTCTCTAAAACTGAAGAATGAATTTTAGGAACAAGCAGAGGTGAAGATCAGAACATTTATGTGAGGAAAAGAAGCTTCTTTCTCAGAGAGGGACAGAAGGTGGACCGGAGTGGGTTGCCCCTGGAAGCTGTCTCTTTCAGACTTTTATAGAGCAAAACCATGTAGTGAGGCGGGTCTGAGGTGGAGAACATGGGAATGCTTAGGTGGGCATGAAGTAAGACCAAAATATAGTCAACCAGTGGGATTACAAGTACAATTGCTCAGGGAAAATTGATTCAATCAGGATCAAATGGGGAAGTGAGTCACACATCAAATGGGCATCGCTATACAACAGTGGCTTATCCTATAGGGGTTGGATTGGTGCCTCTTTCTGACTTCCTCAAGGTAATTATCAATCCTTGATGTCTATCCCGAGGAATATATGCATGAGTTTAATCTTTGTCTGGAGTTCCGGCCCACCGTGGGTGTTTCTCTCACAGTTGCAAGGTACCTTGTGGTCCATCCTGGCTCCTTGAGGGCCCAACCTTGTCTGCCTAACCACACAGTTGGTAGTGCAGAACCCAACTAGCTCCATTCTGTAGCCTGGCACAGTCTGTCAAAAAGACTTCCAACCTACAGTTATCAGTAACGCTTTTAGAGCCTGGGGTGCTGTTTCTTTTAAAACAAAAACAATTTCACAGAAAGCAAATTGGCCAAGCAATGGCTGTGACTCATCCACATGGCTGATACTGACAAAGGATCTACAAACTGAGGTACAGGGTCTCAGGATAAATCCTGAGGGGATTTCACTGACCTTATCAGATACAAAAGCTACAATTCTTATTGCATAGTTCTTGCTTTATTTTGGTCTTAACCATCCAGCAGAAAAGTATAAAAACGAAGTATATGAAGTAAAGCCATGCTGTTATGTTGAGCTGTAGGGGACTGAGGTCAACAATTTCTGACACTGACAGTGAAGCGGAAGACCTAGTACTATTATGGACCACTGGACTATTTTGGAATATTTTGCTGAGTTCACACACCTGTATTTAAATGACGGAACTAAACAAACAAAAAAAAAGGGATACGGATGAATGACCATGTAGTATCTGTGTATTCAAAATGGTTAGGATAGATATATAGCTACATTCTCTTAATTCAAGGAAGAAGGATTTGTTCTAATAGTGTTTGTATCTTGTACAACAAATAACCACTAGGAAGACAGTTATGCAATGTGTTAATTATTGAAACTGTCCTACCAATTTGATTTGAAACTGTCTCATTGCTATTTGTTTCTCAATAAAATTATGGGAAAAAAATAAAAAAAAAATAAAACAAAAACAAAACCAGGGGCACACAACCCTGGTGCGTGGGCGGACCCGCCAATTCCAGGCCAGCCCAAGCTACCCGGGCACGGTGCCGTCTCAAAACAAAGTTTCCAGCCAGAACAGCTCCAAATAAAAATTAAATTCTTGTGTAATTTTGTATTCAGTCTAATATCCCCTAGTCCTTTCTCAGTGTGGAGTATACCGCTAAGGGAGAAAAAAGTTTTCTCAAGCCCCAGAAGCAAATCACATTGCTCAGACCTGGAGCCTGAGGAACCACGCCCACAGGGGCGGAAGAGGGTGGCCGGGCAGGGCCAAACTTCCTAGCCTCTGAGGTTTGGGGCGTGGTTTTTCCACCGCAGCGCATTCTGGGAGGGGTGGCCAAAAGCGGAAGGGACACGCGCCGTGTGGAAACGAAATGAGCTCCGCAGGTCGGGTTGGGCCGCCTACTCTCCGCCACTGGGGTGACAGACGCCTTGTAGGAACCTCGTCCACTCAGCGCCGAGTTGCGCCCCGGCGTCGTTCAATCCTGGTGACGCACTGCAGAGCGTACCAATCGCGAGCTGGCGGGAGGGCGGGCTCTTCAGATTTGAAATCCCGGACTGTGGTGGGAGCGGACCGTGTCGCTGGGGCTGAGCAGCCGTGTGGCGGGGGCGCGCGGCCGGCCTGGAACGGAGTGGAGCGCGCCTCCGCGGCCGCCGTGTGCCAGGCCCTCGCCGAGACACGAGCCGTGCCCCGCGCGCCCCGCCCCGCCCCCGCGCCCCATCCCCCAGCCTTCCAGCGAGCTGCTCCGCTCCCCGGCAACCGCCTCGGCGCCCGCTCCGGCCCTCGCGGGGCTGCTGCGGTGGTCACCGGAGCGGCACAGTGACTGGTCCGTGCGGGAGGTGAGTGCGCCCGTCTTCTCCAAAGTCAGTGCTAGGTGGGAAAACTCTCAGGTTGCAGCGATTGTCACAAAAAGTGTGCCCAGTGCCCACCTCGTGACCTCCGGACCCCAGGCTCGGGATGTAGACGCGATGGATCCCTCCAGCTAACGTTTTCTTCTGAGTAAACTACATGTTAAAAGTTTTAGGTTCGATGAAATTACCGTGGAAAGTCCTCTTCCACCTTTCAGAGATAAACACTTAACAGTTTGGTGCACTGTCTTCCGGATGTTTAGGTTCATATTTTTAACGGAAATGCAACTATACATTAGGGGATGGTGGAGATTAAACCCAGAGCTTTCACGTTGAGCTACATCCACGGCCCTCGCGCTTTTAAATTGTGTCTCCCTTAATCGCAAAATTGTCTAGGCTGGGCTAGAATTTCAAATCCTATCCCTGCTTCCCAGAGTGCTGGGGTTATGTAAATACCCCTTCAGCCCCCACTTTGTGCTTTCTTTCAAATTTTAATTTTCCTGGGAATTTTGCAAGTCAATAGCTATCTGCCTTCCTGTCGGATACATAGAATTCAGTTTTATAAAGGCAGATTTTTTTTATTTTTTTTTTATTTTTTTGCAGAACCGGGGATTGAACTCCGACTCCTGCGCTTGCTAGGGAAGCGCTTATTCGAGCCATCTCCTCAGCCCCGAATTCAGTTTTATAGATGTAGTAGAATTTGTGAATTTATTTTGACCCCGATTGGTGGACATCTAGGTTGTTTTCTAATTTTCCCGGTGCTGCGGTGAACTTCTGTGTAGTAGTAGATTATGCTGCCTGTTGCTGAACAACTTGGATTTTGAGGGTGGACTTGTTTTTTTTCTGGCTGTTAATGTGACCCTGGACACCTCACTTAAACAGTCCATTTCTTTGTTTCGTAGAGCAGTAATATTACTTCAATTCTAAAAGTTTCATTAAGATGGATATAGGGGCTAGCATGTAGAAGTTACTATTTAGTTAAGTATTGGTTATTACTGCGTATATATTTCCATTCTTATGTAGATGTTTCTATCAGGAAAATAAATTTCTATTGATTACCTCCCAGTGCCTCTGGCATTTTCAATTTTTAAGAATTGATTCCGCCCCGCCCCCTGGTGGGCTGAGCTGGCCACACACACACACACACACACACACACTAAATTAAAAAAAAAAAAGAATTGATTCGTTAGATCTCTGAAAGTTGTGTATATTAGCTGTTTGTCATATATGCTTTTTCCCCTTCATGTGTTGTTTGACTGAGTTTAGAATTCTGTCTCCACAGCTTCACCTTTAATGTGCTTTAATGTATGTACCATCCCATAATGGTACTGTTACTGCAGCTGCTGTTTCTAGAAGAATTTCCTACGTATTTTGGGAGGGAGGAGGAGTAATATTTAATAATATTGTTTAGTTATCCTGTGTTTATGCTATACAAGTTTATAGCTTTCCTTTTTACCCCAGTGTATCAGCACTTGGCAGTTTTCAGAGTGGTTTTTTTTTTTTTTTTTTTGGTAGGACCAGGGATTGCACTCAGACCCTTGAGCTTCCCAGGGAAGCACTTAGTCTACTGAGCCATCTCCCTGGCCCAGTAATGTTTCGAACAGCATTAAGCACTTACTGAAAACAGAAGCAAATGATTTTAGACTTCACCTTCTCTGTTCTGAAAAGGGTCTGACTAGAAGGTGCTAATATCTTGTCATTTGTGGATTTGGTCAAGTATGCTTGGCTTTTATTTATTTATTTTTTTTAGATAAAATCTTTTTTTTTATTTATTTAATTTATTTATTTTTGTGTGTGTGTGGCCAGCTCAGCCCACCTGGGGGTTGGGCTGGCTGGCATGTGGTGCTGGGGGATTGAACCGCAGTCCCTGCGCTTTGCTGAGCTTGTTCTAAGTAGGTTCTTTAGACCACTGAGCCATCTCACCAGCCCTGCTTGGCTTTTAGGACATTCTGTTTTTTCCTCAACTTGAGTGATTTCAGTTGTCATGATGATGACTTTTTTTGAAGAAGGAATATTTTTAACATTTAATAGCTTCAGTTGTATATATCCTGACAGGGATTTTTTTTTTTTTTTTTTTTTTGGTCAATTTTCACTGGCAATATGCTAAATTGCCTTTTATTTTCAGGAATATTTGTTCACACTATTGTCTTGTTTCGTTGTTTTGGTTTTCTTCTTACATGTTTGTTGAATCCCCTGTCCATCTTTCTGTATGTATCTATGTTCTTCAGAACTTATTTTAAAACTATAATTCTATTTCATTTTCAGTACCTGATTCATTTTTATTTTCCAGTTCTTTTACTGTTTACCAACTGCCCTTGGGCTCCTCTATGTTGTTTTATTTTTATTTTTATTTTTTTTAATTTTTATTTATTTATTTGTGTGTGTGTGTGTGTGTGGCCAGCTCAGCCCACCAGGGGGCGGGGTTGGCTGACATGTGGTGCTGGGGGATTGAACTGCCGTCCCTGTGCTTTGCTAAGCTTGTTCTAAGTAGGTGCTTTAGACCACTGAGCCATCTCACCAGCCCTATGTTGTTTTATTGTTAATTTATAACTACATATTTTTTGTAGGATATAATTTGATATTCCAGCATATGTATACATTGCATGTGTCAAATCAGAGCACTGATATCAAACATTCAAAAGCCTAGTTATTTTGAAATGTATCTTGTTAACTGTAGTCACCCTACTGTGCAATAGAACATCGGAACTTATTGTTCCTACTTGTACCCTTGACCACCCTCCCTCATCCATACCTTTATCTTCTCATCTCCCACTCCCCATCCTCTTTGCAGTCTATGGTAACTACATTCTATTTTCTACTTTTATACCAGCTTTTTAAAGACTAAGTATGGATGAGGTTGCCTGATGTTTGTCTTTGTCTGGTTTGTTTCCCTTAACATAATACCCTCCAGGTTCAACTACATTGTCTCAAATGACAGAATTTTATTCTGAGTTATGACTGAATACATTCCACTGCATAGATGTACATTTTCTTTAACTGTCTGTCTGTTGTCGGGCATCCATGTTGATTCTGATTCTTGCCTGTTGTGAATAGTGCTGCAGTGGACATGGGTGTGCAGGTATCTTTTCTACATAATAATTTAATTTTCTTTGAATAGATACCCACTAGTGGGAGTGCTGGATCATATGAGAGCTCTATATTTTTTAAAGTTTTTGAGGGCTGGTGAGATGGCTCAGTGGTCTAAAGCACCTACTTAGAACAAGCTTAGCAAAGCACTGGGACCAAGGTTCAATCCCCCAGCACCACATGCCAGACAGCCCCAACCCTAGGTGGGCTGAGCTGGCCACACACACACACACACACACACACACATAAATAAATAAAGTTTTTGAGGAACCTCTAGAGTGTTTTCCATAGTGGCTGTACCAATCTTTATCACACTGACACTGTGGAGGGGTCTCCTTGCTCCACGCCCTTGCCAACATCCTTATAAGATAGTAGCCATTCTAAGTAGAATAAATTGGAATCTATGTGGTTTTCATTTCCATTTCCTTCTTGATAAGTGATGTTGAACAGTTTTTCATGTACATGTTGGCCTTTTGTATTTCTTTTAAGAAATGTCTGAGAATATCTTTTTGCTCATTTTAATTGAATTGCTTGGGTTTTTTGAGTTCCTTAAATGTCCCAGGTTAACCATTGTTTCCTCAGAGGCTGAGCGTTAATGATGTGATTTATTTGTGTTGCTCTTATAAGTAGAAGGGCACCAGGGGCTTTACATCTTTCTTGGGTGGCCAATATCCAGTGGTTTGACTTCTGTATCTGTTCTGAAAATCTCATCCAATTTTTTTTTCTGCATCTTCTTTCTCACCAACTACAATAACACCACTGTCATGCTTTGGCAGCTCTTTTGATTTCTCCTGACTTGCTATTTGCCGCATAGTGGGAATGAAACACTCACACACAGAATTTACTGTGTCTTTTGGGGAAACAGTAGAGTTTGAGGGTTGTCCGTTCTCTCCCCCTCCCCCTACTGGCAGTAGAACCCAGGGCCTCTGCATTGAACCACATTTCCAGGCCTTTTCATTTTTGACTTGAGACAGTCTTACTGAGGTGCGCAGGCAGAACTCAGACTGGCAGTTCTCCCCCCTCAGCATCCCTCACTGGTGGGATTACAGACATAACCACCCTGCGTGGTTTGAGAGGATCTTTCAGAATCTTGACTGCTCACCTTCATCTTGCTGCTTGTTTGAATTGCTTGGGGAGATAGGGTGTAGGGAGCAGGTCTGTGCTACAAAACTATGTCCATAATTATATGCCTTTAAATTGGAAGCTATTTTTTGTCAGTACAGATTGGTCTATTTTCAATGCTACTAGACTATTTGCAACTTTTACATGCTGTTAAGGATTTCATTAGGCTCTGAGGAATTAAGATTGGGTAAATCCATGAAAGGGCAGACGATGGCTAAAGGTGTCCTGTGCTGCTTGTTTATGTGTTTGGGGAAATTTTACCTCAGATGGGAAACGGAATCATGGATTTACATGGCTGTGCTGGACACTCACTCTCCCTTCCCTCCAGTTCAGTACCTGTTGTTTCTCCTTTCAAATATGTGATTGTGCTATCTCTTTCCATATGAAAGAACTCTCCTTATTTAAATAACAAAAGTAAAAAAAAAAAAGATTGGGTAAATCCAGATGTGCTTTGCCATTTTTCCCTGCAGTTGTCTAGGTTATTCTTTTTTTTTTTTGAGAGAAAATATAATTTCATTGATACCGTTTAAAGTGAACAGTTAGTATTAGCCCCAGTACTTAGTTCCTTATACCTAGAACATTGACAGACCTACAAATATATGCATTAATACATACTTGCTGAATTAACAAGTAATTGTGGAAGAATTACAATAGCTTTCCGGTCCCAGTGTCAGTCACACCGCTTTGTCAGCTATGATTGTTGAAGAATGTTTTCCTCTTTTCCCCCTTAAAATGGTAAATTATTAGACAATATAGTATTTTAAGGAGCCTTTTTTAATTTATTTTTTTATTTTATTTTATTTTTTTTGCGGAACTGGGGATTGAACTCAGGCCCTTGGACTTGCCAGGCAAGCACTATTCTACTGAGCTATCTCCCTGGCCTGGATAATATAATATTTATGAATTTTTAGATTGCTTATTTTTCACAGAAGCTTATTTTTTCTACTATAAAGATACTTGATGTCTTTTCATCTGACTGTGTTAGTATTTTGTGATAGGCTTTTTATATTTAGATGATTTCAAAAAATATCGGAAGAGTTCTAAATTCATTAGTGAAAGATCCTACAAATCTTGATAGTAAGTTCCAGGGCTCTTTGATTGAAATACTTCATTTTCCAAGAATTACTTAATGCATCAATTATAATTCCTAGGCATGAGAAATAAAATTTACATATAAGAAGTTTTTAAAAAGTCTCTAAGTAGCATTACATTATTGGGGCTGGGGATACAGCTCAGTGGCACCGAACCTACCTGGCAAGCACAAGGTCCTGAATTTGATTCCTGATACAAAAAGAAAAAAAAAATTATAATTTAATTTTATTGGAAGATTTTCAACTAAGATCTTATAATTCAAATGTTCTGGGGCATAATAAAATCAAGATTAGAGATTATTTTAATAACAATGGATCTTTTAGCTGTCATTAGGCTAGAACTTTGTAACTGCTGCCTTAAACTTGAGTAAAGGAGAAAACCACATTTGTGAAAATTAAAAGTATCTCATAATTTAATAGAATGTCATCCAGATGCTGCTTCTTTTTTTGGTATAAATGTTAGATGGAAACCTCCAAGACCTGATGTTCATGTACATTTCGAAAACAGATACTCAAAATTTCCATCTTAGCGCTATTAAGTGTATCATTTGGTAAATGCTTTTTTTTCCCCCTGAAAGCTGGTTGTTTTTTTTTTTTTTGAAAGAAGTAAATTTAAAGACCAATGACTTCTATTGAAAAATAATAAAAATGACTTTAACACAAAAACTAAAATCCTAGTCTGGTTTGAATTGGCTCTAGATTATCCAGTGTTGTTGTGAAGCAAACTTTTCAATTTCTATAATGTTGTTATCAAAAGCAAATAAACTTAAAACATTTTCTCACCAAAGTATGATAAGCATTGATTTCACATTGAACCGCACATTTTTCTGGGTCCCTGCTGAAGTTCTATTCTGAAAATTGTGTTTGAATTTTCTCTTAGAGGAATTTTGTTGCTACTGGCTTATCAAGATGAGCGGGACACCTTTGAAACATCCGGGAATTCACTTATCTTCACAGCTGTCTTCCCCAAGAAGAAATATGCCCAGGGATGCAGTCTATTTGGATGACATTCCTGAAAATACACTTACTCCTGTAAAAGATTTGGTGAAATACCAGAATTTAAAATTGAAAGATCATAAAAGGAAGCAGTTTCTAGAAATGACAACTTTTAACAATAAAAATGTGTTTCATTCTACCATGCTAACAGAGCCTGCCACCTCTAATAGTTATCTTGATATCAGTGCTATAAGGCCCAATAACAGTGGATTAAAAAACAAAGCAGTCTATGAATCACCAGCAAAAGTATTTCAGAGAATGAAAGAAAAAGTACTGCGTGAGGAACAAGAACGAGCATTAAGAGGCAGCAGAATGTTGGAACCACCAAACAGTGAAAATAAAAAATGTTTCACTCCTAACAAAGAAGAGAAAAGGCCATTGCAGGCTACCTTACTGTGTGAAGAAAAGGAAAATAACAGATCATTCCATTCAGGTAACAATTTGTAAAGAGTTTAATTTTATTATGTTTTGGCTAACAAGCTGGAGTGTCATAAATGTTTAATGTGTCAGACACTTGTTTTAGGTTTTCCAGATACAGCAATAGATAGAATACATCACATCAAACTCTCTGCCTCTATGAGTGTAGTTCACATTCAGGTGAATTTTAAAACGTAACTTGTTAGTACAGTAGAAGAAATCAGAAAGAACAGATTATGATGGAGAGAGTTGGAGAGTGTTGTGATTTTCAGAGCAACCATAGCGAGCTTCAATGTGAAGGTAGCACTGGGCTGCAAACTTTTGAAGGAGGTGGCAGGCAGAGGTATGTTGGGAAATGATGCAGACAGGGGCCCAAAATATACGCCCTGAAGTAGGAACATGTTGATAAATATAAAGATAGGCTATGAGGTCAGTGTGTCATGGGTGACAGCCCAAGGAGCAGGGATAAATAAAGGGTCAGGTAATATAGGACTGTATAGGTAAATGTAAGTTGTCTGTCTCCTTCTTCTTCTTCTTCTTCTTCTTCTTCTTCTTCTTCTTCTTCTTCT